GCGTGCCGGCGGGCGCGGGCGGCACCGGGGTGCCGGTCCAGGGCTCCGCCGTGCGGTCCGGCGCTCCCGGCGTGTCCCGGTCCCCTGCCGCCCGCCGGGGCTCCCGGCGCCGGTGCGGGGCTCGGCAGGGCCCCTGCAGCGAGTTTAACGGGGCCGGCTCTGCCGGTGACTCCGGCAGCAGCGGCGGGCACGGTCCCCGCGGGCTGGGGGGGTTCGGAGCCCGTGGGGCCCTGTCCGGCCACCGGCTCGGGGAGCGGGCTCGTCACGGACGCTGCTTTGCCAGCACTGCGAAGCTACTCGCCTTTCTGGGAGGCAAAGCGGTGCCGGAGAGATCCCAGGTTGTGCAGCCAAGGATGCTCCTTCACTCTGGAAGGGGCCACAGATCCCAACTGCCGCTGCCTTCAGCACCGGCTGTCCCTGCGGCCAAAGCCGTGAGCAGGACAGGATGCGATGGGGGGCTTTAATCTTCCTCTGCTGCCTCCCTCTCTGCTGTAGCTCTTCCAGCCAGGATGGGTTTGCCTCTGGCGAGCACCAGGCTGGAGTAGGGCAGCGTCACCGAGAGCCAGCAGCCGCATGGGGTGGCTGGAGGGGCACGGGATGGGCACGGGATGGGCACGGGTCAGATGGCCCATCACCACGAGCAGGGGCTCGGTGGCTCACAGGAGGGCGTGAGCTGTACCAGTCCCATTCTGGAGTCATGAGTTTGTCCATGCTGTGGGTGCCAGGGCAGGGAAGCAGCAGCCTCCTCCTCCTGCTCATCAGCCATCCCTTTTGCTGCAGGAGAGGCGTGGGGGGCTGTTCGTTAGCCTCGTCAGCACTGTGGGGCCCTGGCTGGAGGGGCACAGTTCCACATGTGGCTTTAGTGGAGGAGGAGGAAAAGGCCCATAGCTCCTGCGAGGGTCGTTGTCTGGGAGGGCAGCAGGGAGCTGTTCCTGTGGTGTGTCTGTGCTGAGAACCTCGATGAAGCTCCCATGTGGATGGTGGCCCATGCCCACATGGGCCTACAGGGAGGGACGTGGACCCATCATCTCCTGACACGCTGATTGCAACTGAGATTGATAGTCTGAGAGACTGGGGAATTTGACAGTTCTTTCAGGTCCCAGCTCAGACCCAAAAGGCAAAAGCAGATAAAAAATGTTAGTGAAAAAACCCACAAAATTCCAAACAGCACATAAGAGAATGGAGAATACCAAGATTTTCAATCAAAATTAAGTGTTTTGACATGCCAGAACACCACTCTTCATTTCACTGACATTCCAGGCTGAAAAATCTCAAGTTAGACCAAACATTTGTAGTTGTAATCTCACGACATTGGAGGTTGATAACTGTCAAAACAGCAGTTTCTGTGGAGCTGTGTTTTCTAATGGGAGTTTGGGCATGGGTGGGAGCTCTGAGTGCCTCTGGCAGCATGGAGCACTGGGGTGCCCCTTGTCCTCCTGCTCCCCTGAGCCACGTGTGCTCTCCTGGCCACCAGCATGGCTCCTGCTCAGCTCAGTGGATTCCCTTTGGAGTGTGGCATGGACAGTGTGGATTGCATTATTGATAACTCTGTAATTTATTTATGCTTCCTTGGCTATAGCAAACAGCTCAGCCTTTCTGAGCTAAATATACTTTGCACTGGGAGCGTGTTGCTGTCCTCTGTGGGATGGAGTGGCCAGTGGAGTGCTTGGTTTTTCGTCCAGCTGAGAGGTTTAGGGATGTCTCCTGGAAACTCACATGGCCTAGAGGGTCCCATGGGCATGAGCTGGGGATGGGCTCCCCCAGAAGGACTCAGGTGTGTGCTGTGGGCTCAGGCCTGGTGCCTGGGGGCTGGGCTGTGCCCCCTGCATGCAGCAGGAGCTGCAGCAGCAGCCAGGAAAGCAGGGTCTCCTGATGGAGACCTGGCTGCTCTGGTGGAAGGCACATGGGAGGTTTGTTGGCACTGGGGACTCACTGTTGCAAAACCTGCACTGGCATTGTGTCTGCTGTCCTCAGGTCTGGGCTGCTGGCTGTGCCCCATGGTGGGGCAGGACGGCTGTGTGCCTGTGGGACACAGCTGCTGCTGTGTGCAGCGTGGCTGGGCAGGGGTGGCCCCGCGCCTGCAGCACGCAGGGCTGTGGCACACACTGCCTCTGGAGTCAGGTGAAGGACTGAGCAGCTCTGAGAGAGCTGTTTGCTTTGTCACTGAGCAAATAGTGCGTGCTTTAAGCTGACATCAGTATTTACACCGTGGGCTGTCACGTCTCCAAAGGGACTCCAGCAGCACCAGCTGTTGTATGATCCCGCCCTGAGAAGCCTCCTGCAGAGCACATTGTGCCAGAACATCAGAGATCACCTAAATATGGGTTTACAGGAGAGAGTCTTGCAGTCCCACCACATCACCTCGAGGAGCAATGGTTTTCTTGCACGTTGAGCCGTACTGGATTCTTTCTGGAGCAGGAGCAGCCCCTCATCACCCAGGCATGGAGGCAGGGCAGCAAGTGGGATGCTGCCAGCCACTCTTCAGTCTGCTCCTGCCAAGCTGACCATCCCACAGCATTCATTAGGACTATTTCCTTACCTCTACCTTCTTTTTTAGCATAAAATGTGTGGTTTTGTCAATATACCTTTGGTTTCTTCCTGCGCAAATGTCAACACTTTTGGTGACATTTTCTGATTTTTGTTTTCCAGATGGGAGAATCAAAGTGCAAAATATCACTTTAAATCACCAATTCGGAATGAAGCATTTTTCATTTTGAAATGCCAGTTTAAAATGGGAAAATTCATTTTTAAATGCTTCCAAACAAGAAATGCCCTTTTTACCACTTCAAATCACTTCATTTTGATTAAAAATGTCAGCATATTTTGTCCTGGCTCTTCATTAGAGGAGTCTGTGGTTTCACTGTCTCGTGGTCCAGAGCAGATAGAAATTTCAAACGTGGCTGAAAATTGAAGATTTCTTCTCTGAGAGGTGTGGGTTTGTCCAGTGCACTGCTGGAATTTTGCACTGCCCGTGGAGGGGACTGTGAGTGCAAGGTTGGCACAGGGCAGGGCTACCCCTGGCCCCTGCTGCTGCTCCTGGCAGCGCTCCCTAACCTCATTGCCATCACCCCTTGTCTTTGTGGTGTCTTGGCAGTAAGATATGATGCAGCACTAAAATTTTATGGGGGGCATGGTGGTTTGTGGAGCTGGTTAGAGCCCAGCAGGTGATAATGGAGGCTGGGAGGTCACCATGTCCCCTGGCAGCTGCCAGGGTCGCTGCTGGTGCCGCCGCCCGCGGAGCGCCGGGGCTGTTCCCACCTGAAGGGCTGTAAATAGCTAAAAGAATATATTTAAAGAGTGCAGCAGTAAAACACAAAACCTTCTGGGACTTACATTTTTCCCTAGGGGCTTTAGGTGATGTAAAACTTGGCTTCTTCCCAGCATGTGCTGCATGGAGTGGGAGGGTGCCAGTGTGGTGCCAAGATTCTCGGCGTGCCCAGGGGTAGCCCATGCAGTTTTGAGTGTGTGGCTGCATGAATTTGGTGCCTGTGCTGGAAGGAGGAGCAGCCCCAGAAGAAGGTGATGTGCTGGGAGAGCAGAGTGCAGGTCCTGGCACTGCCACGGGCTCTGTGTGTCTGACTGGCAGCCAGCTGCCCCCTTCCTGCTTCCTGTGGGGTGCTGGCCCCAGGACACCCAGCAGCATCAGCCCATCCTCCTGCTTGCCAGCAAGTGGTTTACAAATGCCAGGCCTTGGGCATCGCTGCAGGGGACCTCAGTGACACAGGGACAACAACAGCACGTAACCACGCACAGAAAAGGCAGAACCTGAAATGACTCGCTGCTGATCTGCTCTGGCTCTTCCCACACACACTGGCTGTGCATTTAGTGTTTGTCATCTGCTTTAATGACCTACTCTAAAGGAGCTGATTTTGTGCTCTCAGCATAAAAATCAGGAGCAGCTCTGCAGGTCCTGCTGTTCAAAGGGGTGAGCAGGGTGATGGGCTGAGCTCCTGGAGAAGTTTCAGTGGTGCAATGGACACATGCACACGAGAGTGTTTGTCCCAGGTGTCCCCAGCCACTCCCAGGGACACAGTGGCTCATGCTGATGGCAGGTATCACTGCCTATGCCCTTCTTTCTCCTCTCAGATGTGCTGATGTCTGCTCCTTGCAAAGACCTGACCCACCTGAGGTTGGCAGATGCACAGATGTGACCGTGAATCACCAGTAAAAGGTAACCATCTCTCGCCTGTACTCCTGCTGGTGGGATCTCTTTCTGTCCTGCTGAGATGGCCTGTGCTGCTGCTGAAGTCTGAGGTCATCTGAGGGTGGTGGGTGAATCCCTTCATCTCCCAGGGCCAGACACCCCAGTCCTCACAACGTTCAGGAGTCACGCCACTGCGTGCAGGAGCATTGGTGAGTGGATCTGCAGCTCCCAGCCCTCCTCAGTCCCTCCTCCTCCACATATCTCTTCTTGTTTTCGGTAGAATGAGCGAGAGGGATTTACAGAGCCTGAGCAAATGGGTTTTCGTGCTCAGCCTGTGCCTTACCACGCTGTGGGGACGACTGACGCTGGCCTCCACGCATCACCACAGAAGCCATTCAGGTAGGGGACAGATCCCTGCTGCATGTGTCACATGCTTGTGCAATCACCTGGGTCCCCGTGGTCGTGGTGGTACTTTGGGCTCTTCGTGGGATGCCTGAGGCGGGGGTTTCGTGGGGATGAGCTGCTTGGTGAAGTTCTGTCTCACGTTTCTTGGTGGGGGCAGGAGGAGTTTCAGGCTGTGGCGCACACCAGGAGCAGGCGGGCATCTCTGGGGACCAGTGCTGACAGCCCCAGGGAGCTCAGTGTGCAGCCCTTTCTCTGGGGTCTGGGCAGCAAGGATGGGTGTGCCAAACGTGTGGGGCAGCATCCAGCAAACAGACACCAAGGGGCACAACACGGTGCCACTGTGACAGCTCTTGGATTGGCATTTGGAGTGTCCACGTGTGCAGGAAACTCCTGGACTGCTCCTTCATGGCAGGAACATGCAGCCATAGGAGCTGCTGCTTGGAGTTGCAAGTTGTGAATACTCACTGTGGGGCATTTAGAACCAGTGGCTTGGTGAGCTGGGATGGTCTGAGGAGTAAAAGAAGGGAATTTCTTCATGTCTGTAGCAAAATGAGACACATAATGATCCATACATACATCTGATACATCTATGAGAAGCTGTTGTTGTGGTGATTCTTGCTCTGTGGGCAGTGGATGTAAATCTTCCCACCCAAGTTGCTATGAGTATCACAAACCCCACTTGTCATGTGGTGGACACTCTCCACTCCACTTTCCACTTATTAGAAATAAAAATTTGTATTGCCCTTTGTGTTGCAAAGATCATCTAGGAAAATGGAGCAAGTGTAAAATTATGTAGAACTGAAAGTCTTGGTGGAAAACATTGTTGTTTTGAGGTGTTCTTTTGTTATTCCCAGCTGTGAATTTGAGATTTCCTCTCTGAGCGTTGGAATGCTGCTTTGTGGCACGGATGTGATTTTTTGGAGGGGTTGTGTGAACCCAGGGTTGAAGTTTGTGTCCAGACAAGAGAAGCATCTGAGAAGTTGTGCTCAGCCCTTTGTGGCCATCCTCCCTTGCCTGAGGGGCAAGGGGGGACCTGGTGGTCCAGGGCTGGGGGGTCCTTGGAGCATGGTGGGAGGACATATGGGGAGGGGGATGCTGCTGTTGCTGGTGTGGCTGGCAGAGCTGTGCACCTGGAACACCTGGATCCCAGGCTCCTGCTGTCTGCTTCACATGCCTCTGCTTGGAAAGGGCATTCACGGGTTAATTTGAAACCATTCACGCTCTTGATTGACCCCACATCTAACCCTGTCCTATTTCTGTCATTTTTGCCTGACAGTTAAAGCAGTTCTAATCCTGTAATCCCCTCCTGCGTTGCTTAAAACCAAAACACATCTCCCAGAGTGGCTCCCTCAGCCAGCCAGTCAGCAGCTACTGCCTTTCCCTTCTCCCAGCCCTGGGTACCCCATCCTTGGAGGTGGCCAAGGTCAGGCTGGACAGGGCTCTGAGCAACCTGGCCTAGTGCAAGGTGGCCCTGGTAATGGCAGGCAGTGGAGCTTTAAGCTTCTTTCCAACCTAAACCATTCTGTGATTCTAACTGGGAGAAAACTCTTTACTTTTCTCCTGGGTGACTTTGAGTGCTCACTCACCCTGCCCAGCCCCAGTGGCAGAGAGCCCTGCTCCTCCATGGTATCAGTTTGCAGGGAGCTGCTTCTTTGGGGAAGAGTCACCCCTGGGATCAATAAAGCAGCAACTTGCTGAGGTTTGACGTGCAGATGCCCAGGTGTGCTGGTAGGTGTGAATTATGTATAAATCTCACTTGCCCATGAGCAGCCGGGCTCGTGGATTCATGTGCCAGCAGGCCCAGAGTCAGGGTTTTTTTTGCTCTCACAGACTTACCCACAGCAGACCAAACTGTGTGATTTTTATTCAGGAAAATTGGATTCACAGAAGAGGGCAGACCAGGAGCAAACACTTAAAAGTTTGGCCCTGCTCTATGTCTGTGTGAACACAGTTTCTCTCTGCCCATCCTGCCTTCCTGATATTGTAAGAACTTCCTGTGACTGCCTCATCTCTTGGGCTGGGTTTCCACGGTCTCAAAACAAGAATTCTTTTTCTACTTGTTGAGTTCGTGGGCTTTTCTCTCCTGTTCTCTGCCGTGTTGTTGCTGCATTTGGGACAGTTTTTGGTGAAGGTTATGTTTGAAACATAATGCTGCATAACAATGCTCATTCTCAGTGGCAGTGGCCAAGGAAGCTGCAGCTCTGTTTCTGTGTGGAGTTGAACAGGGATAACTTTGTCACTGATGCCTGAGACCCCCCAGAGTCAGAGATGCTGAGGGACAGATACATCCAGAGCTTTCATCCCATTAAAGAATTGTGTTTGTTCACAGGTAAAACCACCTAAAAATGATCAGTAGCAGAGGAAGGACTTTAACTGTGACCTCAAACATTTCTTGGAGAGTCCACATGCAAACCTTCCGTTTGCTGTCCAGGGACACATCTGACTGTGACAACCAGGTCTGATAATAGAATTATAGAATATCTCGAGTTGGAAGAGATCCACAAGGATCATTAAGTCCAACTCCTGGCCCTGCACACAGATCATACCGTGTGCCTGAGGTCCCTTGTGCCCACCCAGCACATGGAGATGCTGCTTTGTCTAAGCAAAGCACTGCTTCCTGCAGAATGTGGTTGGATTTGAGGAGCCACGTGAATCAAGCACAGTCATTTGGAAACAGAATAGGAGGCTCCGTGGTGAAGAATGATTCAGCAGCAGTTTAATGCCCTGTGTAACATGGTGAGGTCTTCATGAGGAACAAGGCTGGAATGTCTGGATCCAACTCCCACAAAGGTGGCCCCAGCACCTTCTAAAGCTGATAATCAAAGGGCTGTCTTTGCCTTTGTGCTCATCACTCAACCTGAAGGAGAAGAAAAAAGCATTTAAGTCAGCTGGAATTTTTTCTTTTGGGAAATGAGGTTCTCTTGGCATTGCCTGACACTTACATGCATCCAACTTCTCATTTGTAGCTCTCCACCAGCAAGCAGTATTTTACACTGAACATGTGGGGTTGTGCCCACGCTCCCTGAGATACTCAAAATGTGTAATTTCGGGTTATGCCATAAAACCCCCATGTTCTGCTGCTCGTTTAAAGGTCAGTGGAGTAGGACAGCACTTTTATTTTATTTTTGCACGCAGGACTCAAAAGCTGTTTGCTCTTACAATTCTTCATGGTTCCACGAGATAAGCTGTGTCTTTTAGAAAAGGGTTCCAGTGGGGAAATACCAGTTAAATGGGAGGGAGAAGCATGCCAGAAGCTCTGGAACTTATCCCAGCCTCTCGGGAGGTTTCCTGCTGTCGGTGTTAAACACACCATCCATCTGATAGGCATTTTGTTCCAAGTTTCCTGCTGCTCAGCAAAAGGAGAAGCAGCTGCAGGGAGCTCCGGAGCCCGCTGCTCGCACTGCACGGGGGCTCAGCCGCTCTGCTCGCCCTTCCCGGGCGTGGGACATGAAAACCCGGTGTGCCAGCAGCCCTGGTGTGCCAGGAGCCCCCGGTGGGGCAGGAGCCCTGGTGTGGCAGGAGCCCCCGGTGTGCCAGGAGCCCCCGGTGTGCCAGGAGCCCCTGGTGTGTCAGGAGCCCCTGGGTGCCAGGAACCCCGGTGTGCCAGGAGCCCTGGTGGGGCAGGAGCCCTGGTGTGCCAGGAGCCCCTGGTGTGCCAGGAGCCCCGGTGTGCCAGGAGCCCTGGTGTGCCAGGAGCCCCTGGGTGCCAGGAACCCCCGGTGTGCCAGGAGCCCCCGGTGTGCCAGGAGCCCCGGTGTGCCAGGAGCCCTGGTGTGCCAGGAGCCCCTGGTGGGGCAGGAGCCCCGGTGTGGCAGGAGCCCTGGTGTGCCAGGAGCCCCCGGTGGGGCAGCAGCCCCCGGTGTGCCAGGAGCCCCGGTGTGTCAGGAGCCCCCGGTGTGTCAGGAGCCCCGGTGTGCCAGGAGCCCCGGTGTGCCAGGAGCCCCTGGTGGGGCAGGAGCCCCCGGTGTGCCAGGAGCCCTGGTGTGCCAGGAGCCCCGGTGTGCCAGGAGCCCCTGGTGGGGCAGGAGCCCCCGGTGTGCCAGGAGCCCCGGTGTGCCAGCAGCCCCCGGTGTGCCAGGAGCCCCCGGTGTGGCAGGAGCCTCTCGCCACCCCACTCAGCTGGCTGCAGTGAGGCAGAGGGAGTCAAATTTCTCTTTATCTCTGAGCTGCACCTTTCCCAGCAAATTAAAAGGGCTTTGACACGTTAGCAAGCTGCTATTGCACGGTTGTAATGACCGATTTCTCAGTTCTGCCTGGCTCTTCCCTCGGCTGAACCCTTTAAAATGAGCTGAAAATGAGCAGCCAGAGAGCAGGGCTGCAGGGGAGCAGAGGGGTTGCCTGGGCAGCCCTCCCGGGAAGAGCTCTGCTAATGAAGCCTTTCTGAAAATGAGTCAGAGCCGTAACTACGCGTGAACACTGGGACTTGGAGGTGTAACATTCCCTGGTGAGGTGCACGGGCTGGAAGAGTGACTCCTTGTGGTCCTGGACCACAGTGTGAGAGGAATGTGGGCTCTTAGGCAGCCCAAGCCAAGGATCACTACTTCTTCCTCAGATTATTTGAAAAATCCCATAAAGAAAGGGCAAAACAGTCATGTTTGTTCTGCAAAGAGTTGCTTTCCTTTTCACTGTCACCGAAGTCTACCATTTCTGTATACAAAAAGAACGGAATTCATTATTAAAGCTGAATTACTATGGCATTTCAAAGAGAAGATAAAATTTGTGGCCAGAGATATTATTACAAAATATTCCATATAATAATGGTGTAATTATTATGGACAGAAATGAAAGTAAGGGTTCATTAAAAGAAAATGACCATGAAATAGCAATGAATGAAGCAGATTAGAGTCAGGGTGATTGCGCAGCCCGTGCTGCCCGTGTGCGGCGGTGCCGGCACGGCGGCGTGTCCCGAGCAGCTCCTCACATCCTCAGGGATGCTCTGAATCCCGGCGCTCGGACGGGCAGGGAGTGCTTTGACTGCAAGCTGGTAGAGCCGTGCCCCGCTGCCGCAAGCCAGGCGTTTGCACTTCGGAGAGCATTTCCGAGCAGGGATGTGAAAAAAAAATATCTGCTAGGCAAAGGGATTTCCCCCCGCGGTGGGGGAGAGATCCCGTTTCCCTCAGCTTTCCTTGGAGAGGGAGGTGGCTGCGTTCCCAAAGCTGGGCAGCGTTTGTTGGTGAGTCTGGGGGCCTGCCAGGGTCCGCAGGGCACTCGCTGTGACACAGGGCAGCTGCCCTGGCTTTGCGACCCTGCGGGGGATGGCATCCAGGACGCTCCAGCAGCACGGGCACTGCAGGGCGGGTGGGAGCAGCTGCTGGAGCCTCCTGTGCTGCGAGAGGGCTGGGTGGGGGCTCACAGGTTCCTGCAGCAGCAGCAGCAGCAGCACACCTCACCCTGCACAGCCCTGTCCTGCCTGCACCTCCTTCCCAGCCTTTCCTCCTGGGGGCCCGTGCCTGCGCTCCGCTGTGGGAGGTGTCCCGAGCCAAGGGCATGGAGCAGCCAGGAATGCCCTGATGCCTGCTTACCTGCGTGCATTTGGGGAGTGCAGCTGCCCTGTCCTCCACCCAGCTTGGCTCCTGTTTGCTAGGGAATAAAAGCCCATTCCCGGTGACCCACGGGGCCCAGGACGTGCCCATGTGTGGCTCTGCTCTGCTCCTCCAGTGCTCATTAAGCAGGACCTGCAGGGATCTCTGGGGTCATGGGAATGCAGTCTCTCAGCCCTTTTTGGCTGATTTGTATTGTGCTTGTGTGGGCCATTACCCAGCACTGATTTGAGATGCTGACCAGCTCTAAACTCTGATCCCAGAGGTGATCAGCCAACACGGTTTTCCTTAATATTTTAATGGCACTGAGAGGGGGAGCAGCAGAGCAGCTTGAATTGCTGATGAGCAGCGTGACATTTCTGTGCCACCGCAGGGTGGAAACGCCATCCTGATCCTTCCTTCTCCAGGCAGAGGGTGGGTGATGGTGAGGTGCAGGCACTGACTGTGGCTGTGCTCAGAAGTGATGGTGCTCTGCTTGAAGCCAAAATGCACAATGCACCATCCCCTCTTGCAGCAAAGTGCATCTCATTATCAGCTGCAATTAGCTAATGTGCTCGTTAGTTTCAATAAAGCTCTTGGCTTGGCTGTGGCAAGAGGGGGTGAATTTGGGAGGGTACGATGGGTGTGAGGGCTATTAGGAGCAAGAGCTCAGCTATGAGAGGTGTGGAGCAGGAACCGTTTTCCTTACAGGTGGGCTGGGAAGATGCTGTCCCCAGACACCAGGTGGGCTGGGAAGATGCTGTGCCCAGACATCTGTGTGCTGGGAGGATGCTGTGCCCAGACACCAGGTGGGCTGGGAGGATGCTGTGCCCAGACACCAGGTGGGCTGGGAGGATGCTGTGCCCAGACACCAGGTGGGCTGGGAAGATGCTGTGCCCAGACACCAGGTGGGCTGGGAAGATGCTGTCCCCAGACACCAGGTGTGCTGGGAAGATGCTGTGCCCAGACACCAGGTGGGCTGGGAAGATGCTGTGCCCAGACACCTGTGTGGCACCAGCAGCCCAGGGTGATTGCAGAGCCGGGGCAGCGCTGCACACACCGGGCTCTCCCGGTGCCCTGGTCACAGCTCACGGCAGCAGCGCTGCCCAGGGCGGTGGGCAGGAGGGGCTGAGCTCTCGGGGGTCTCACGGGGCTGTTTCTCCTGCAGTGCACGTGGAGCCCGGCACGTGCGAGGTCATCGCCGCCCACCGCTGCTGCAACAGGAACAAGATCGAGGAGCGCTCCCAGACGGTGAAATGCTCCTGTTTCCCAGGGCAGGTGGCAGGGACAACACGGGCAGCTCCCTCCTGCGTGGACGGTGAGGACCCCACGGTGCAACCCCTTCCTTCTCAATCCCTGACCTCGTCCTCACGGGTTAAACAGGTCTGGGGTCTCCACGTCCCTGCCATTAACAGAAGAGACCTGACCTGGGGTCCTGCGGCAGAGCAGTGGGGAAGGGGGCACGTTTTGGGGACACTCTCTCATTGGACACCACTCAGCTGGTGTGGCTGTGGGACTGCGCTCTGTGCAGCCCTGGGCTGTGTGCTCTGGGGCGTTACTGGGGTTCAGCATCGCTGTGCTGGGGTCGGGTCTGCAGCCCCGATCCCTGCACGTCTCCTCACCCTGCACGTCTCCTCACCCTGCACGTCTCCTCACCCTGCACGTCTCCTCACCCTGCTGCCACAGCTGGGAGCAAGGATGTGATTCCAGCCGTGCCTGTGAGGAGCACCAAGCATACAAACTGCATGTTTTATTGAATGCCATCATGTGCCATGACCAAGGAGCCATCAGGAGCACTGCCAGCCCCTACCAGCGTGGTACTGATTTGCTTGACAGCCAGTGGCCTGTGGCTGCAGTTCTGTGCAACACCAAACAATGCCAGAATAAATTGTCAGGGAAGGTTCTTGTTGTCCCCAGCTGCTCAGGTCATATTGTTCCCAAGTAGAAGAGGGCCCACTCTAGCTCCCAAACTGGAATCATGAATCACAAGACCCTAACAGAGCAGAGTGGTAGGAGACAACCCCTTTGCTCTCTGAGTGGAGCCTGAAACAGGTTCCTGAACAGCACTGCTCTCCCTGGGAGCGAGGACATGGGGCTTTTTTTCCTTGGGCAGCGAGAGAAAGCAGGGTGTTCTGGAGGCAGGTGGAGCAGGGTCAGGTGAGGGCAGGCAGGTGACGAGCAGCTCCTTGTCCAAGCTCCTCGATGTGAGCTGTGCTGGAGAGAGGGGCTGTGTGTCCTGGTGTCACCCAAAGGTGGGCAGAGCTGCTCCTCCGTACCCTGTGCTGCAGCTGGGTGCTGATCCCCTCCTCTCCCCCAGCCTCCATCGTGCTGCAGAAGTGGTGGTGCCAGATGGAGCCGTGTCTGGATGGGGAGGAATGCAAAGTGCTGCCTGACCTCTCGGGATGGAGCTGCAGCAGTGGCAACAAAGTGAAGACAACCAAGGTACGTCCCTGTCAGGTGTTGGGGAAACCCAGCCTGGGGAAAGCAAGAAAACCCAGGAGAGCACCCGCAGTTCTGTGGGGAAGGAGAGAGCTCCAGCTCCTTCAGGGCACACACTGTTTGATAAGGACTCACTGAAGCAGAGCAGAGGGTCTGGGCTGTGCTCACCAAAACAGGGCAGAGGGTCTGGGCTGTGCACTTGTCCCTGGTGCTGGAGGGGCTGGCAGGCATACCACAACCCTGAGTGGATCCCAGAGCTTTTCCAATTGATCATTCTTGCTGGAAGGCTTGGTGTGGGATGGCTCAACCCCTGGGCAGACATCCTCGGGGTGTGTGTGTACCATTCCAGGGCTCCCAGGGTGTCCAGCTCCCCTGCACCACCCGGGGTCACAGGCTGCCCTTCCCAGCCCAGTGGCACAGCCCTGAATCTGTCCCTGTTCCCTGTCTGAGGCAATCACTGGTGACAGAGCACTACACGATTATTATTTTCATGGCTTGCTGAATGCCCCAAAGAACAAGGTGTAATTAAAATTTTATCAAACTCATTAGTAATTACATATATGCCATGGTTAATCCGTTGCATAATTTTGTAATCATTGTTCATACTGTTGAGTGTAATTATTCCTTATGCTTTCGTTTTCCTCGCCCCACATCCCCCACCACAAAATTATCCTATTAAGCAATGTCAGGATTTTTTTCATTGCTGCTATTATTTTTGTGCACAGAAAGCACTTTCATGCTGAAGTGTTTTTATGGACATCCAAAAAGGTTCCTCCAACCCTGAGCATCCATCACTGACCAGTAACTACAGCATTACATTGAGCTGGTTGTGTTTTTCCCCTCTTAGTGTTGTTTGGTTGGTTTCCCCCAGCAACTGACTTAGCACAAAGCCTCTGCTCTGGCTTTGCTGTCTTGAATTCTCATTGGGACCACTACCATCTGGAGTGGGAGTAGGACTCAGCAGCTTCTGCTCTCCTGCCTCATCCAGCAGATCCCTCCATGGCCGGCCTCCCTCTGGGTGCTGTGCCCTCCTTAGGGAGGTGGCACTTTGAGAACACACACCTGTGTTTTTTTCAAAAGGACTTCTGGTAACTTTGGATGACTTTAGTGACTTTGGAATGGTGCCAAAGGGCTGGATTTGCATCTCAGTCCCCGGTGCAGACAGACTTCAGTGGGAGCTGCAGCCAGAGCACAAAAATCACAAACCATCCTTAAGGTGACGTTTGGAACAGCCACTCCATTAAACAAAAGTAAAGAGCCAATCTTATTTACCCCTCTTGGGGCTGTTTGCTGGTAGTTCGTGGATGGGAATCAGCTGGGTGCACTGGATAATTTCTCCTCTCCTCCGCAGGTCACTCGGTAGCCTCCGTGGCTGAGCAGCCTTGCCGTGGGTCCCGGTGCTCCCGTGAGCAGCAGGAGGTGGCCCAGTGCCTGCAGAGGTGGGGTGCTCCAGGGCTGCCAGGACTGGACAGCTGCTGGATCAGAGCATCCGCTGCACCCCAGCTGCCCTGGAGGCTGCAGGCGGCGGTCCCAGTGCAGCTGCCAGAATCCCGTCGCTCCACGGTTTCCTCCTTTTCTGTGGACACCTTCACCAACCAAGAAACGGGCTCGTTTTCCAGTAGTAAATAAAATATTCCCACTGTGTAAGAGCTGTTGACAATGCAGAGACAGACAGGCAGCAGGCCCCCAAAATGGGCTTTAATCTGAATGGCTGAAGTCGTTGCTGTGAGTCGCCTTTCCCTGCCTCCCGAGATGCTGAATCCCAGTTGCATTGGAGTTGGGAAGTCAGTGGTGATGTGAAGCCCTTCCCCACGTGGCTCCTGCTCCTGGGGTTCCCAGGAGCAGCTGCTGAGCTGGGGGCTGCTCTGCCCTCGGAGACTGGGCTTTCCCTGCCCCACCGCTGTGACCACAGCAGCAGAGGTGGCAGCGTGGTCAGAGGGTGTCTGACACCCTGTTGGCTCCCAGGCATGGTGAGATGTCTCCATGGTGCATGCTGCTGGTTTCTCCTTTCTCAGTAATTGCATTAATCAGGTTGCAAATTTAATGTTTTCCACCATGCAAATCCCAGGCACTGAGTTTCTGCTTGTGTTTGCAATTGAATTTCAGAGTTGTGTGAGGCGATCTCTCTGTCTGCAGCTCTGGGGTGTCTGGGGCATCAGACAGGGCCTCAGACCAAGCTAGATTTTGTTGTAGTAATCCAAAATAAAGAGAAACGTACCACCTCCTGGCCCTGAGCTCATGACCTTCTCCAGGACACACCGTTCCTGTGGTGTGGCAGCTCAAGGTGGGGGAGAATGTGAGCTCTGTGCCCCCCATGTCAGAGGTGCTTGGGACCCTGGGGCTGTGGGACCAACACCTCCAGCCCTGCTCTGTGCCTGCTCTGGGACCCTGCAGGGGATGTGCTGGTGCCAGAGGGGCTGCAGATGGTGTGAGCACCATGGCAGTGAGGGGTCACTGGTGTGTTTGCTGCCACTGCCTCCTGCCCTGGACTCATTATTGAGACATTTTTTGTAATGGGGTATGTAATACCCTCTCCAGATGTGATGTAAATACCAGACTATGAAATAATAAATTCATTTTAATCTCTGCAAAAGGCCTTTTCACTCAGCAGCAAAGGGAGGCTCTGGGAGTGCTTCTCGTGCTGCTGAATCCGAGGTGAAGGGGCTGGGGACTCTGCCCTGGCCATTCCAGTCCCAACCAGCTCGTGCAATGATGGCTTTGGAGGAGAGCTGAATGCCTCTTGTGGCCAGCAAAGGCTGAGTAGCTCATAGTGATCCTAAAGAAAAGTGCATTAATTTCTACAGGATGCTTTGCTGAGAGCTTTTCTTACCCTGTCCCTTCACCTTTGTGTGGCAGCTCCCTCTGCTGCAGTGCCGTGTCCCCAAAGATGCTACCCCTACCAAAGGCCAGACTGTGGTTTTAAGGTTCCCACCTGGAGTCCTGTGCCCTCTGGGAACCCAGGCTGTCGAATGCAGAGAGGGAATCTGTTATTTCCAGCAGGAAACACCAGCCTGTCGATGGGAACATCCCTGCTTGGCTGAGCATTTTCATGGTTGGCTCATAATGTGAAGGATCCACTCTGCAGAAGTGTTGAGCTTGACACCTACATTGATATAAAAACATTTTATTGTCTGCATAATAGGCACCCTTGAAGCTTATTTTTCACTTACTGCAGCACACAGTTTAGTGAGGAAATAACCCCTTGGTGTCTCTGCTGAGTGCTGACCTCGCTGCTATCACACCATCAGAGTACACAAATACTGCAAATTGCTGCTCCTCTCCTGGCAGGGAAATGTGTTTCCAAGGAAAACGCTGCAGCCTGCAGGACTGCTGGTGTTACCTCTGACTCCTGAGCAGCCAGGGAAGGTGCTGCTGCCACGGCTTCTGGCCCTCTGCCCTTCTTCCACTCACTTCCTTTGGCCAAGAAGACAAGCAGTCCTAGCAGGAGCAATAAACCGAGGAAGAGGTGATGGTGGTGGGAGCATCTCTGGGCTGAGACAAGCACTTTGTGATGCCCTGTGTCTTCAGTGGGACAGTGCCACCTGCACAGGGACCCCGGCCCCCTGATCCCTCTCTCTGCCTGTGCCCACTGCTGGTCCCTGAAGGACAAATCAACCCCTGCAGCTGCACCCGCAGCTTGGGCGCCCCAAGCTCTCGCTCCAGGGCCCCAGATCCACCCTGCCCAAGTCCTCCTCTTGGTGGGGAGGCTTGTGCCAACTTCTGTCTTGGCACATCTGGGCAGTCTCTGACGGGGAGCTTGCACAGACAAGATTTGAAGTTGCCCAAGGGGTGATTAGTTAGAGGAATCTGTCACAGTTAACGTACTTTCAATATCATCTCCCTGGGTATTATAATTACACCCCATTCAATTAGTCTTCAGGAAAAAAAAGTCTTTTGTATTAAGATTTGGTGGAGAATTATTAGAGAGTGAATTAAAAGACAAGGATTCCATTTTACCTACAAATACTAAAAGCATAATGCATAAAATACCCCCAAATTACAAGCTGACTAAATGTAGAGCTGTGCTAGGAGGTGAAATGAAAGGTAAAATGAAACCCTTTGAGCAGTACAAGGTGCAGTATTATCAAAGAAATAAGACGGAAACATAATTAACCACCCAGCATTATGCTGAAAGATGGCAAATTGAAATGGGAGACAAAATTAGGTGAAATTGCAGAGCAGGTTCATTTATTTCTGCTTCATAAATCAGTGCTACCTGTCAGCAGTGGTGCCAAGCTATTCCAGAGCAGGAGCTTTCCAAGGCAGGCTGTTCACAGGGACCTCACCTCGTCCACGCTGGGGTTCCTGGGCGGTGAATTCCGTGTCACTGCAGGGCAGGTGGTGCCTCCAAGGGTCACAGCCTTGGTGTCCTTCCCTTCCCCCAGCCTTGGTGCATTCGGGCCACGTCTGGTCTGTCCTATTCCCCAAAAGCTGTCTCCCTTTCCCTGCTGCTCTGCTGCTCTGACAGTGCCACCCTGGTGACTTTTGCAAGTGCTGCTCCTATGGCATCCCGCAGGGAGCCTGCCATCAGTGGCCTCTTGCTCCGGTGAGCTGAAGTCCAATTTAGGGCTGGAGGAACATTTTCTTTAAATGTGCTGCATTTCCTCCTCTCAGCCTTAATTGGCTCCTGTTCCCTATAACCTCTGCCCTCTCCCCTCTCCTGCCACGGCTCTGCTCGCTCCTCTCTGCCCATTTGCTTTATTGCTGATTTTCAACGAATTCAAACAAGAAAAGGCTTGTCTTTTCCAGAAGCAGAAAGATTTTTGTTAGAATCACCTCAGCTATGCAAAAGCATCCCTGTGCATCTCCCGGGCCGTGCTCAGGAATGGAGAAACCTGGAACTGGTTTGTCAGTGGAGAAGCAGAATCTGTCTCGTCCGGCTCACGGGACTCACAGAGGTGGCAGCTGCACTGGCTGTTCTGGCACTAGTGTGTTTGGACAGGAGCACGTGGGTCGGGTTTTTTCCTACTTTGCCAATACCTTTCACTAAGAAACTCTACTTTTTTTTTTTTTTTTCCTTTTTTTTCTTTTTATTTTTTTCCTTCTGGCTTGTTTGTAAGTAGATATATCCCTGTTTTGGGGTTGTGAACCAAGTGGCTTCAGCATCCAGACACGCTGCCCCACCTCTCCCACCCTCAGGACAGGAGCCAACAGCAGCCACAGCCCCCACCACCAGGACGTGGGGACATGGACATGGGGCTGTGGGCACCTTCCCCTTTGCCTTGCATGCCAAGGGACTCCATTAGAACCACTAAGATAAAAATACAACAGCACAGGCTTTCCTCTGGTTAATACACTCTGATGGGGCTGTTGGAAGCATTAGATGGCTCTTCCAAAAATGCATCCTCATGTTTTATTCAACTGTGCATTTGTGAAGATGTTCTTAAGGGAATGAATAAAATATTCATTTAGATGCTGCTGTGCAATAAAGGCAGTCAGGGCAGAAACCATGCTGCTGGGTCAGGGCAGAGCTGGCCTTGTTTTCCTGCTGGGGCAGCTGCAGTGGCCACAGCAGAAAAAGAGCCATTGGCTGGGGCAGAGCAGAGAGGGAGGATGCAATTTAATTTGTGCATTTCCCAGCTGGTTAATCTCCAGATTTACTGCTGGTATTTGATTTCCGTAGCATTGCTTCATAATAAAGGGATTAGCCTGGACCATAGGTCTGCTCTGATGCTCATCTACTAGAGATTAGAGAGAAATTTTGCAGTTAGTTTGTGGGTCAAATAGGTAGAAATGAAAATATGTGCATGGTTTTGTTGACATTTGCAGGAGCATTGAGCCTGTGATCTAGCACAGGCCCTCCTGACCCATTCAGCATCCCCTGTTCTGTCTCACGGGGGTCCTGATCCTCTCTCCTTTCCCTCCCTTTTCACAGGGTTCCCAATACCCTGTCCCTGTCTCAGAGGGGTCCCAGTCCCCTGCTCCCTGTGACAGGATAGTTTAAATCCCCTCTTCTCTGTCTCATGGGCATCTCAGTCCCCTGTTCCCAGCCTCACGGGGTCCCAATCCCCTCTGTTTGGCCCGGAGCCCCAGAGCCAGGAGCCCCAGCACCTCTCCCTTGTCAGGGTGATGCATGCTGTGGTGGCAGCCAGCAGTGCCTCCAGCTGCCAGCGCTGGGCATGGTCAGGAGTGCCTTGGGCAGCGTGTAAAATCCCTGAGAACTGTGGTTTGATTTTTTCCTGTGCACGTCTGTGGCACCAGAGGTTAATATATTACCAAGCTGACCTGGATATGAGCAAGTCAGACATCCCTAATAAATGCGTGCTAACTGAAAACACAGACAAATTAGCACATGCTCCATTTCCTTCCAATGCTGTGCTTTTCCCTGGTCTCAGCTTCCCCCTGTGTGCCAGCTGCCCCTGGAGTCCTGAGGAGCAGGACTGGCCACCTCCCTTGTGTCACCCTCCCTGCAATGCTCCCAGCCCAGCCCGGTCCTCTGAGCCGTGAGCAGTGAG